CTCAGAGTAGAACTAAAAAGAACGCTTAGATGAGTTGCGTCCCTTGGAAAATCCCGTAGGAGGCGTGACGAACCTTGTCCAGATAGTCCGTCAATTCCCCTTGGTGATACAATAGAGGAAGTAGGTAGTTCACGGGATCGAAAATCGCATTTTGATCTTTAGTTGACTTCCCCTCCCCAGCCCAACATCAAGAATATTTACGTCAAACTAGACGTATAATGTGAAGTCGAACCTTCAACTCCTCTGAAAATTATTTGTCAACTGACTTCGCATTTCCAATCACCTACACCACGTCATCGCCGTCGTTCCCATGCCATCATCAATGCCATAGAATCATCCAACCCTACCTCTTTATCCCTAACCCCTTATTACATTCGCTCTCAACCCAGACCTCAAGGAGGATGTGAGTGCGGGGTCGAGGCAGGATCCTCGTCCACTGTTGCACCCATCCCCTCATATATCCGGATCCGAATATGCCATCTTTCTCGTCCTTCACGAACCCTCACAACCAGTACTAAGTTCGATTCCTTTTCGTTTTATTGCTTTGTATTGTGTCGCCGATTGGCTATCTCGTAAATTCGTAATAATAACCTCTGAGGCCGGAAATTCTCAGCCGGTCTGCGAGGTCGGTCTCCGCCCCCTACATCTTCTTCGAGCGCGCAAATAGCGAGCATCGCTAATGCACGTGTATTCACAACCTTCCATATTGCAACCTGTAGATTATACCACCCGAGCCGAGTTTCAGATCAAAAATATCACGAAGACTTTAGCCAAGAGTTTTCGGAACACATGACCACGAAAGTCTCCTTTCGCTCCCTTTGCCCACTGCGAGTCCTAGGAATCTTCATACGCATCAGAAGTCCCGATCACAGGATGCCGAGAATGTCGACAACCTGTGGACAAAGGGGCTTTTGACAACGCGGGAAGAAAGGTAAGCGCTTGGGGTACCCATTGACCACAAAGAGCCTCTGAGAGCCCGAGGGAACAATTTTTCAAGCCAACGCAATAGATTCTGGGCCAGGATCGATGATGAAAGAACCCAACCTTGGTTTCAACGTCGACGCCCGGGGCTCGCTCGATAGCAAAATAGGGCCACCCTCCCTCCCACTTTCGAGATCAAACGAATAGTCATGCTCGCCTGACGCCTGGGACTTGTACTCCAGGGAATTGATTTTGGTATCAGCTATCTGAATTGCAATTGGTGGCGGCGGGGAGTGGAATTCTTTCAGTTTGGGAAGAACTAATTACCTAGGGTGTAGATTGAGGTTTAGAAGCCGAAGAACATATGAAAAAGAGTCTTAGGCTGCGCTTCAGTGACCGACCGGAGCTATAGACGGCTACGAGAATACTCACGCCCAGAGTCTTATAGAACGGTTATGTAGGATCAGGGAAGGCCGGGCCGCCCCCAAAACAAACACCAGTGTCCTTTCCGGATTCTCTCTTACTTAGTTTGACCTCACAGGGACTCTCTATATATTCGGAGAATAGACAAGCCTCACATAGTTTCTAAACGTAGGAATTTTGACCAAGTTTGGTCGTTTCAACCAGCCTCCCCCCTCTCTAGGATAGGGACCCCATTCTACATGAGCGTCTCAATCCGCAGAACGTTTTCGAACCTCCGACTCGAGCTATTTTTGTTCAGTGAAATTAGCCTAGCTCACAAACAAGTTGCTCGAGTAGACAGTTCCATACCTCCTCAACGACGTACGCAATGGATGGTCGCTGTTCGGGATTCCCTTCCCAAGACCTCTGAAGCAAGCCCCATAGTGGATCTCCTTCGGGCAATTCTACATGATCAGCCGGGAGGGGTGTTTTATCGGAGCAAATAGCCATGATAATTGGGGCCGTGGAGTTCATCCCATACATCTTATAGAAAGGAGCTTTCCCGCTCATCGTCTATCCGAGGGATGTCAAGTCAGCCGTTTGGAGCATACAATGCCAGAATACAAACACACAGCAAGTATTAGCCCACCAAAAGCGTAGACATCGCTCATAGTTGTCGGCCTCGGGTTCTCGTCATACAACTCCTTCGCTTGATATCCAGCAGTCCCGGGGCCATGTCCAGACGTCGTCAAACCGGTGTGCGTGCCAGGACTGGCCCTTGCCCTCGGGACCCCAAAGTCGCACAGTGGTCCGAGCACATCGTTATTAATGTCGAGGTCGTCTGGTTTGATGTCTCCGTGGATGATGAAAGGTTGCTTCCCTTGGTCTCCAGCAGTCTCAAGCCCGTGTCCAGAAGTTGTCAGGCATGTATCTGCCACAAGGCTTTTCACTACCCTCGAGATCCCAAAGTCGCACAGCGATCCGACGATATCGTCGGTAATGATGACGTTGTCTGGCTTGATGTCCCCATGGATGATGGTGGGTTGAAGGGAGTGGAGGTATGCAAGGCCGCAAGCTGCGTCGCGTAACTTGATAATGCGTCAAGGCGGATCTCACAGTCGAAGGGACGATGCTCACCAGCTTGAGCTTGTCGACGTCCGGAAAGTTGGAATTTTGACTAACATAAGACATTAGACTCCCGTTCTTGCACCATGGGGAGACCAGCATTGGCTCTTCATCGATAATTTGATACCCGTAAAAGGGGAGAATGTTCTTATGGTTGGTCATCTGCCATATGGCAGTCTCCCTTCTGATGCGCTGAAAATGGATAGGAAGTTGTAATGCAAGCACGGAACCGCCCGCTCCGACTAAAGACTCACCCTCTCGAAGCGTTCTCTAGACTGAGGATCGTCCTCGTCGCCTAAGTGCGTCCATCGTATGCACTTGATCGCCACATGGATAGGGTCTTTACGTGCAAGAGTCCATACCCCTTGATATATGGTTCCATATCCTCCGACGTTTATCCATTTGATCTTGGTTAGTACACCAGGAAGAGGGTCAGGTAAGCTATAAACCTGAGCGCCCGGCTGGATGACAGAGTCTTCGGGCGTAGCCACCACCGGCTAGGACAGGAGCGTAGTGAGCGATCCAGAATGGTCGAATGAAGGCATTATGAAATACCTGTGACTCCAGGCGGCATGGGGTATTTGGGGGGGTAGGGTGCAGCACGCAGATGATTGGTACGCTGCTTGGGCTGGAGAATATGTCGGCCATACTCGACCGCGCTGAAGAAATTTGTGAGACTGGACTATCGAGATGCGGGTTTATTCAAACCGCCTTACACTTCACGTGCAATTTGATAAGATCATGACCGAGCCGAGCCCCGCATTCGACATTTTCAGACTCCTCCACAAAGTTTGCCATTCCCAATTTCAAAGGAAATTCAGATCCTCCATGGCACCATCTTCGCCATGGTTGCGCTGTGTCAAAGTGCAGGGGCTGGGCAACGGTCCCGGGGGCATCGGTTGGGTATGAGACTGACGAGCAAAACACGCCACCAAAACAAATATCATCCGGTCACAGGACGGTTATCTGGAGTAAAAATCCAGCGAAAAATCTCCTCCACCTGCCTAATAGGGCCAGTTTTGGTTGGAACTCCGGCGAAATTCTCTCTTGGGAAAACGTGTTGTGGGTGAGGTAAGCACCGACCTCCTTATTCTGGAGCGGGGGCGCGCCGATCCTCCTTTTGAGTAACAGGGGCCCTGACCTTCTCGTGCAACCTATATAGGGATAATATCCCCTAATCGGGCATAATGAAGGTAGCTGTCGACCTTAGCCAGCAGCGAGCGAAATTTGACCCCCCACCTTTACGCGCACAATGTGCCAACTGCGGACCCTAGGGACAAAAGTCACAGGCTTCCACAGTCTCGACAACTTGCGGACAAAGGGGCTTTTGACGCCGACGCCCAAGAATGGTGGGGCACCCAAAATTGGCGGCAAAGAGCCTCTGAGAGCCCCAGGGGACAATTTCTCAAGCTATCGCGATAGATTCTAGGCCAGGGTGAATGATCCAAGAACCCAACCTTGGTCTGAACGTCGACGCCCGGGGCTCGCTCAGCAACGAAATAGGGCGAACCCCCCCCCCCAACTTTCGAGGTCGATCGGGATCGAACCGATGCCACAGAGTGCTCCAAAGTCAAGGTTCTCCAACAGCTAACGGTAAACTGACCCCTTCACGCCCCTTTCTTAGATTTCATTTCACACGGCCGCCTAGTCAGCAAAATCGGGCCCCTCCGTTGGCCTGATGCCTTCACTTTGCCAGCACCAGTTTTAGAGAACCTCTATTCCGTCACGGGTCGTTGCTGAAGGTTTTTAGAGCCTTGACTACCCGCAAATGAATGGGCTTTTGATGTCGCTCAAGAAGGGAGGTCGGCAGAAGGGGGTGTAGGGAGCCTTGAAGAGGCCCAGCAGGACGATTCCTCAAGCAGTTACAACAGAATCTACGCCAAGCGTAGATGTTACACGAACCGAGCCTTCATCTGACCGTCTCACCATGCACGACACTCCAGGGACTCGCTCCGAAACAAACAAAGAACTAGTCTTGCGGGATCGAACCGATGCCATATTGTCTGTCATGGATCTTATCCCCACACTTTTCCCGAGTCTCGATCGATGAAGATTCTACTGCATTTCGGGTCTCAGTCATGGGTCGAGGACGCTTTTAAGTGCTTGCGATTGAAGGGGATTTTGACTTAGTTATGGGGCAGAGGCACGCGCCCGGGTCTCCATACATCCTGCTGAAGCTGAGAGAAACCACTGCGCGAGCACTTACGGCAGATCCTGGATCGACGACAGCTTAAGAACGAGCCTTTCGTGTGTTTTACCCAAGCTGGGTGGTCGTCGACAGTTCCATGTCTAGTGGGACCCGATAAAATTTCGGTCGGGCCCACTTAGAGCCAAAAAGGAAGGAAAGGATTTCCCTTCGATCGGGATCGAACCGATAGCACTGTTCTTCTGTTCTTCTAAGCGAGCCACGACCAAAGACAGAAGATGAACGAGAATTCTGTGTGCTTCGCTCGAACTGGCTGGGTATTGAGGTATTATACGTGTCGTTTAGTAACGGTAAAACTTCGGTCCGGCGGGTTTAGACCCAGGAAAATGCAAAAATCAAAACGAATTCCCTTCGATCGGGATCGAACCGATGGCCTTGGGATTATGGTAACCATTACAGTCCCACGCTCTTCCAGCTGAGCTACAAAGGGCTTCTGCAGAGGAAGAACCCTTTAATAATAAGAGATTATTGTCTGTGCAAACAGAAACGATGGTTAACAAGGTATTCTCATCGCTTCCTTCTCGTCAATTAAATAGAGAATGACAGCGCCCTTACATCGGGAATGGCATCTGGGGGGCTGGGGCAATGCTCAATTGGGCCGTGGGCGGGGGAAAGGTTACCGCGCTCCATCTGCCCCAACGCCCGCAGGGTCGAAGTTCGCGTTGATAGCATACCTTATCATCCGTTTGGAGTACTGAAGACAGTCAAGGATAGGGCATCAAGTTAGCGGGGAATATGACGCCTTGGAGAGGGCGGCGAGGTGGCGAACCCCGCGCTTCCCAAACAAACGAGCCCTGGCAGGGTCGATCGTCCTGCACCCCCCATTTTCACCAATCTCCAGACCATGCCCAGCAAAACATTTGCTCAACGACCGGTAAGGACTCTCTATTTGTTTTCATCACCTCCTCAAGCTGAACTCCGACTTTGGAAAAGGTTGCCCCAACCTTGAACACCTATCAGCGGGTGCTCTTTCTCCCCGAACTGCTATCCATAATTTTTGGCCAGCTCCCAG